CAGACATCCCACGGGAATTCCCTGGGTGCTGGTGCGGGTGAAGATCCCCCCACGCCCAGACATCCCATGGGAATTCCCTGGGTGTTGGTGTGGGTAAAGATCCCCCACACCCAGAGCTCCCAGCAGGAATTCTCTGGGTGCTGGTGCGGGTGAAGATCCTCCATGCCCAGACATCCCACGGGAATTCCCTGGGTGCTCATGCAGGTGAAGATCCCCACTCAGAATTCCCACCGGGAATTCCCTGGGTGTTGGTGAGGGTGAAGATCCTCCACTCCCAGAGCTCCCACCGGGAATTCTCTGGGTGCCAGTGCAGGTGAAGTTCCCCACTCAGAATTCCCACTGGGAATTCCCTGGGTGCTCGTGTGGGTGAAGATCCCACTCAGAATTCCCACCGGGAATTCCCTGGGTGCTGGTTCAGTTGAAGATCCCGACAGTCAGCATCCCCAGCAGGAATTCCATGGATGCCCGTGTAGATGAAATTCCCACACCCAGAACTCTCACCAGGAATTCCCTGGGTGCACTGGCAGCAGGTGAAGATCCCCCCACTCAGAATTCCCATCAGGAATTCCCTGGGTGCCGTTGCAGGTGAAGATCCCACTCAGAATTCCCAGCAGAAATTCCCTGGGTGCCAGTGCAGGTGAAGACCCCCACATTCAGCATCCCCAGCAGGAATTCCATGGGTGCCCGTGTAGATGAAGATTTCCACGCCCAGAACTCCCACTAGGAATTCCTTGGGTGCCAGTGTGGGTGAAGATCCCCACTAAGAATTCCCTTCAGAAATTCCCTGGCTGCCCAAGTAGGTGAAGTTCCCCCCACTCAGAATTCCCAGCAAGAATTCCCTGGGTGCCCCTGAAGGTGAAAATCCCCCCATTCAGAATTCCCAGAATTTCCTGTGCAGGTGAAGTTTCCCCCACTCTCAATTCCCAGCAGGAATTCCCTGGGTGCACTGGTAGCAGTGAGGATCCCCATTCAGAATTCCCATGAGGAATACCCTGGGTGCTGGTTCAGGTAAAGTTCCCCCCACTCAGAATTCCCAGCAGGAATTCCCTGGGCGCACTGGTAGCAGGGAAAGATCCCCAGAGCAGCTGATGCAGAAGAATTAAATCTCCACTTTCTTCTCCACTGTCCACATCCTGCCTGGAAATGTCATCATCACAGTGGCCGNAAGATCCCCAGAGCAGCTGATGCAGAAGAATTAAATCTCCACTTTCTTCTCCACTGTCCACATCCTGCCTGGAAATGTCATCATCACAGTGGCCGGGTGGGAATGTTTGCTGTGTATGGGAGCAAAAGTTGTTGATTTTAGGACTGGTTTCTTATTTTTTGTTCTCTATGTATGTCTGATAAATGTATTTTCCTTTTTGTTTTTTCTATTCCTGTAAGGTCTCTCTTTAAATGTAGCTGCACAATGTTCTGTAACTTATGATATCCCAATATTGGTTGTTTTCTGAGGACTTTATTCAACATTTGTAATTACAGGGGTTGTTTTGGGTCTTTTTAAACAGCTGCAAAGCTAATTTTTGGTTTTAACAAATGCAGCACGGCACAAAATCTGGTCAATAGGAAACGTACCAGGCTGGTACCTGAGCACAGAGGAAAACTTTGAGAGAAGTCCTGACTGCTGATAAACCCACAGGGAGCACATTATCCTCTATCACAGACTGGAGCTCTCAGAGCATTTCTCCAGCTGGGGAAAAAATAAATTATTTCAGCGCAGAGGCTTTAGACAAGCCCTTCCCAGAGCTGCAAAGGTGATGTTGTTGTTCCCTGCTGGAATCCCAGGGCTCCATCCCAGCCTCAGAGCCCCGCCCGCGGAGCTTTTCCACTTTATCCCCCAGTTCTCTGCACGTGAACATTTCCGGGTGTGACAATTAGCTACACCCGCGCTAATTGCGGCTCTGCTGATTGATTTATTTCACGGCTTTATTTCACCCTTGCTGGGTGTCCCCCTCATAAGGGACAGGAGCAGCCACGGGGACCGCTCCCCCTCAGCATCCTCTGGCCGAGCTCTCCTTGTCCCCCCGTGTTCCCGGGGTGATTTATCGCCGACACGGGGCACGATTATCGCCACATGGCACGATTATCGCCACATGGCACGGTTATCGCCACATGGCACGATTATCGCCACATGGCACTGCGAGCATCGCTCGCATCCCGCCGGGAATTGCCGCGGATTAAACCCCGCCTGCACCGCCCCTGACAGCGCTGAGGGCGGGGCGCGCCTCCCCAGCGCCCCCGCCAACCCCAGCCGCCTCGGGAGCGCCAGGTTTGGGGTGAATCCTCCCAAAATGGGCGTCCCGGGAATTTCCTCATGGAAACGAGGGATAAACCCTCGGGAAAGGGGCGCTGGGAGCATCCCCCCCGCGCTGAGTTGGTGCGATCCGCGCTCCCCCGTCCCGCCGCGATGAGCTCGCCCGCCCCGCCCCGTGGCCACGCCCCCAGCCGCCCGTTGCTACGCAACAGTGATCGCCGCTCGGCGAGCGTTGCTAAGCAAAACGTCATTTAAGAGAGCCGGAAGCGGCTCGGCGTTCCCGGAAGTGCGCAGGAGAACCCGGAAGCGCCATGGGGTGCGATGGCGGCACCATCCCCAAGCGGCATGAGCTGGTCAAGGGGCCCCGCAAAGCCGAGAAGGTCTGGGCAGTGCTCCGCGATGGCTGCGGGGCTGCGGGGAGGGGCAGGCCCGGCCCGGCCCGGCCCTCCATGCTGCGAGCGGGGCATGGCGCTCTTGGCGTCGGGGCAGCGCTGCGGGCCGCCCGCGGGCTGAGAACGGGAACGGGATGGGAGCAGGGCTGGGCTGGCGGTGATAGCGGCTGGACAGAGCCCAGGGGACAGGAGGCCATTGGCGATTGTCCCCTGTGCCGGCACTGCTGGGGGGGATGGATGCTGTGTCCGGCAGAGAGACCTGGAGGAGCTGGGAACGGGCTGGAGAATTCCTGAGGGACCCGGGAAGGTGCTGGAGAATTCCTGAGGGAGCTGGGAAAGGAATGGAGAATCCCTGAGGGAGCTGGGAAGGGAATGGAGAATTCCTGAGGGAGCTGGGAAGGGGCTGGAGAATCCCTGAGGGAGCTGGGAAGGGGCTGGAGAATCCCTGAGGGAGCTGAGGGGGCTCAGCCTGGAGCAAAGGAGGTCAGGGGGACCTTGTGGCTCTGCACAGCTCCTGCCAGGAGGGGACAGCCGGGGGGATTTGGGATCATCCCAGGGAACAGGGACAGGAGCAGAGGGAATGGCTCAGGCTGGGCCAGGGGAGCTCAGGGTGGGACCAGCAGGAATTTCCCCATGGAAAGGGGGTCAGGAATTGGAACTGCCCATGGAATGGTGGAGAGCTCATCAGGAATTTTGGCAAAATCTTTGGCTGAAGTTATTTTATTAATTCACTCCAAGTGCACAGAGCAGGTTTGGTAAGGAACCTGGGGGTTTGATGAATGTTTCACGTATAAGCTGATTTTATGCTTAAATAATTTATAAATATTTTTAAATAATTAATGTTTTTTCCTTCCCCAGGTTGACAAAGTTGCTGAATTGGTGGCAAGGTGGTTCTACTGTGCCCTGAGCCAGGAGAAGCTGCGTCGGCCCATCGTGGCCTGTGAGCTGGGCAGGTGGGAATGTTCCCCTGGACACCTCAGGAGTTAAAAAACCAAATTATAAATATAAACTGTAAATGCAAACTTAAATAATATAAAAATAATTTACATTATTAAAGTTAATTAAATATAAAAATATGAAATCAATTAGAAGTCTAAATATAAAATTATAAATACAAAATTAAATAATATAAAATGTATTAAGTTTTCTTAAATTAAATTTAATATAGTAATTTCAACATATACTATATTGATTTTTCAAAATAATTAAATATAAAATTTAAATTATTAATATAAAATTGTAAATACAAAAATGATATTAAATAATTATAATATATTAAAATCCAATTTCATGTGTTATATTAAATATTAATTACATAATGTGTTATATTGTACCATATATATTGAAATTATAAATATAAAATTATAAATACAAACCATTATGTCAGCCCAATATAACCAGTGGAATTTTTATGTTACAGGTTGTACAACAAAGATGCCGTCATTGAATATTTGTTGGACAAATCCCCTGATAAAACCCCCATGGAATCTGCATCCCATATCAAGAGCATTAAGGTAAACAGGTTGTGTTTAATGTGAGAAGTTAAAATAAAACCTTAAATTCACGAGTCAGGCTGTAAAATCTCCATTTGCTTGTGCTCCCACTATGGATTAAAGTGTTTAAACAACAAAACACAATAGCAAAAATATTAAGGATTGTTATCGTGGCTCAGAAATCATGGGGGGAAAGCTGAAGGTTTCACAGAATCACAGCATGACCGGGTTGAGGAGACCTTAAAGACCACAAGTCCACTCCTGGCACCCAGTGCCACACCCAGGCTGGTCAACACATCAGGGCTGGTGGCTCCACCACCTCCCCAGGCAGCCACTGCAGAACTTTATCACCTTTCTGTGAAAAAACTTCTTCCTGATATCCAGCCTCAATTTCCCTTGATGCCCAACCTCAATTTCCCTTGAGGAAGTTGAGCCTGTGTGCTCTGGTTCAGTCAGTTCCTAAAGAAAGAGCCCAGCCCCAGCTGGCCACAGCCACCTTTCAGGAGCTGTGGAGTGATGAGGCCACCCCTGAGTCTCGTTTTCTCCAGCTGAGCACCCCCAGCTCCCTCAGCTGGAAGGGTTTGTGTTCCCAGCCCCAGATCCTCACAGGGTTTGTGTTCCCAGATCCTCACAGGGTTTGTGTTCCCAGATCCTCACAGGGTT